CAGGGGTAGGACTAGGAGGCTGATGCATTGTTAACACAGGGGTAGGACTAGGAGGCTGATGCATTGTAAACATAGGGGTAGGACTAGGAGGCTGATGCATTGTAATCCCAAGGGGTACGACTAGGAGGCTGATGCATTGTTAACACAGGGGTAGGACTAGGAGGCTGATGCATTGTCAACATAGGGGTAGGACTAGGAGGCTGATGCATTGTCAACATAGGGGTAGGACTAGGAGGCTGATGCATTGTCAACATAGGGGTAGGACTAGGAGGCTGATGCATTGTTAACACAGGGGTAGGACTAGGAGGCTGATGCATTGTTAACACAGGGGTAGGACTAGGAGGCTGATGCATTGTTAACACAGGGGTAGGACTAGGAGGCTGATGCATTGTTAACACAGGGGTAGGACTAGGAGGCTGATGCATTGTTAACACAGGGGTAGGACTAGGAGGCTGATGCATTGTTAACACAGGGGTAGGACTAGGAGGCTGTTGCATTGTTAACATAGGGGTAGGACTAGGAGGCTGATGCATTGTTAACACAGGGGTAGGACTAGGAGGCTGATGCATTGTTAACACAGGGGTAGGACTAGGAGGCTGATGCATTGTTAACACAGGGGTAGGACTAGGAGGCTGTTGCATTGTTAACATAGGGGTAGGACTAGGAGGCTGATGCATTGTTAACACAGGGGTAGGACTAGGAGGCTGATGCATTGTTAACACAGGGGTAGGACTAGGAGGCTGATGCATTGTTAACACAGGGGTAGGACTAGGAGGCTGATGCATTGTTAACACAGGGGTAGGACTAGGAGGCTGATGCATTGTTAACACAGGGGTAGGACTAGGAGGCTGATGCATTGTTAACACAGGGGTAGGACTAGGAGGCTGTTGCATTGTTAACATAGGGGTAGGACTAGGAGGCTGATGCATTGTTAACACAGGGGTAGGACTAGGAGGCTGATGCATTGTTAACACAGGGGTAGGACTAGGAGGCTGATGCATTGTTAACACAGGGGTAGGACTAGGAGGCTGATGCATTGTTAACACAGGGGTAGGACTAGGAGGCTGATGCATTGTTAACACAGGGGTAGGACTAGGAGGCTGATGCATTGTTAACACAGGGGTAGGACTAGGAGGCTGATGCATTGTTAACACAGGGGTAGGACTAGGAGGCTGTTGCATTGTTAACATAGGGGTAGGACTAGGAGGCTGTTGCATTGTTAACACAGGGGTAGGACTAGGAGGCTGATGCATTGTTAACACAGGGGTAGGACTAGGAGGCTGATGCATTGTTAACACAGGGGTAGGACTAGGAGGCTGATGCATTGTTAACACAGGGGTAGGACTAGGAGGCTGATGCATTGTTAACACAGGGGTAGGACTAGGAGGCTGTTGCATTGTTAACATAGGGGTAGGACTAGGAGGCTGTTGCATTGTTAACACAGGGGTAGGACTAGGAGGCTGTTGCATTGTTAACACAGGGGTAGGACTAGGAGGCTGATGCATTGTTAACACAGGGGTAGGACTAGGAGGCTGTTGCATTGTTAACATAGGGGTAGGACTAGGAGGCTGATGCATTGTTAACACAGGGGTAGGACTAGGAGGCTGTTGCATTGTAAACATAGGGGTAGGACTAGGAGGCTGATGCATTGTTAACACAGGGGTAGGACTAGGAGGCTGATGCATTGTTAACACAGGGGTAGGACTAGGAGGCTGATGCATTGTTAACACAGGGGTAGGACTAGGAGGCTGATGCATTGTTAACACAGGGGTAGGACTAGGAGGCTGATGCATTGTTAACACAGGGGTAGGACTAGGAGGCTGATGCATTGTAAACATAGGGGTAGGACTAGGAGGCTGTTGCATTGTAAACACAGGGGTAGGACTAGGAGGCTGATGCATTGTAAACACAGGGGTAGGACTAGGAGGCTGATGCATTGTAAACATAGGGGTAGGACTAGGAGGCTGATGCATTGTAATCCCAAGGGGTACGACTAGGAGGCTGATGCATTGTAAACACAGGGGTAGGACTAGGAGGCTGATGCATTGTAAACATAGGGGTAGGACTAGGAGGCTGATGCATTGTAATCCCAAGGGGTACGACTAGGAGGCTGATGCATTGTTAACACAGGGGTAGGACTAGGAGGCTGTTGCATTGTAAACACAGGGGTAGGACTAGGAGGCTGATGCATTGTAAACATAGGGGTAGGACTAGGAGGCTGTTGCATTGTTAACACAGGGGTAGGACTAGGAGGCTGTTGCATTGTTAACACAGGGGTAGGACTAGGAGGCTGTTGCATTGTTAACACAGGGGTAGGACTAGGAGGCTGTTGCATTGTTAACACAGGGGTAGGACTAGGAGGCTGCTGCATTGTAAACACAGGGGTAGGACTAGGAGGCTGATGCATTGTCAACACAGGGGTAGGACTAGGAGGCTGCTGCATTGTAAACACAGGGGTAGGACTAGGAGGCTGATGCATTGTAAACACAGGGGTAGGACTAGGAGGCTGTTGCATTGTAAACATAGGGGTACGACTAGGAGGCTGCTGCATTGTTAACACAGGGGTAGGACTAGGAGGCTGCTGCATTGTTAACACAGGGGTAGGACTAGGAGGCTGCTGCATTGTAAACACAGGGGTAGGACTAGGAGGCTGATGCATTGTCAACACAGGGGTAGGACTAGGAGGCTGCTGCATTGTCAACACAGGGGTAGGACTAGGAGGCTGCTGCATTGTTAACACAGGGGTAGGACTAGGAGGCTGTTGCATTGTAAACATAGGGGTAGGACTAGGAGGCTGATGCATTGTCAACACAGGGGTAGGACTAGGAGGCTGCTGCATTGTAAACACAGGGGTAGGACTAGGAGGCTGATGCATTGTTAACACAGGGGTAGGACTAGGAGGCTGATGCATTGTAAACACAGGGGTAGGACTAGGAGGCTGATGCATTGTAAACACAGGGGTAGGACTAGGAGGCTGATGCATTGTCAACACAGGGGTAGGACTAGGAGGCTGATGCATTGTAAACACAGGGGTAGGACTAGGAGGCTGATGCATTGTTAACATAGGGGTAGGACTAGGAGGCTGATGCATTGTAATCCCAAGGGGTAGGACTAGGAGGCTGTTGCATTGTTAACACAGGGGTAGGACTAGGAGGCTGTTGCATTGTTAACACAGGGGTAGGACTAGGAGGCTGATGCATTGTTAACACAGGGGTAGGACTAGGAGGCTGATGCATTGTTAACACAGGGGTAGGACTAGGAGGCTGTTGCATTGTAAACACAGACCAGGCCTGTGTTAGGCAGTTTGCATACATTGCTGGTGTGTGGCATTTGTCGTCCATTATTTGGACGAATCTGATGTTCAGCACCCTCCACAATCAATCATGGTTACCGTGGTGACATCATGAATTATTCCTGGAGAAAATAGATCTCCCTGGATTAACACAACCACTTAATTATTTACAACTTGAATTACCAAAATATCTCCTAATTGCTGATGTACACAGGGTTTGCTGATGCATGAAGGAAGACAGACCTTATTCTGGTCTACCATCATCAATTCATACAGGCACCAAAACTTCTCTTTGTTCCTGTCTACTGATAACATCAGAGGATTCCAAGTGTGTGAGATGCCTCGTGTGTCGTGAAATACTTTGGAAGAGTTGTAAAGTTTGGGTTCATGTGGAAATGTTTGTAAAACATATAATTACTACTTAACGAAAAGATCCACAAACAGGATCTTTGTGATGATATTATTCAGGTATTAAACAGAAACAAGGAGAGGTTCATATGTTATGTTAAATGCTGTATACACAGTAAACTACATTTATAACGAACATGCTTATAATCATGATAATGAACTGACCAATATAACAAACTTATATTTTAGTCCAGACCATTTGTTGTATAAATGCTGTATATATGCTTATAACGAGCTATGGTTATTACGAACTAAAATTAGTGGGCCCTTCGAGTTCGTTATAACCGTAGCTTACTGTATATTATGAACAGGTTTTATTCACATAAGGGCTTTTCTCTTTTATCACCATTAGCTTGCAAACGAACGTAAAAAAACCACGAGGGATACGTAAAAACCCCATGTTCCCCGATTGATCCTGCTACAACGAGTTTATCATACCGACATGTTTTAACATGACTTTGTTAAAGAATTAAAACAAATTCAAAATTGATAAATCCATGTGCAGCCTGACTTGCTCAAGGCGGGCTATAAGGGATTTATTCGCTCGCTGAGAAATTTTTTTCCCTCCAAGCCGGGATACATCATATTTTATCAAGGTCACGTGAACCAATCAGATCTCGCCATTCTGACATGGAGGTATGATGATATCCTTTGAACAAACAACTTTAAATCTTCTTTGATAGGCATTTAGAAGTTGGAGTACTAAGTAAGGATAAGAATTTATGGTTGAACAACTTTATTACAAGTAAGAGCAACGTTTCAGTGTAGGTTCTAACACCGTTAACATGTAAGTGATGATAACTGTGTTAGAACCTCCACCGAAGCGTCGCTCTTAATTGTAATAAAGAAGTTGTTCATCCATAAATTCTTATCCTTACTTAACTTTAAATCTAGAGGCTGACAGTGAGTAAAGCCGAGTACATTTATTATGGAAAATATAGGCCTTACGTTGAACATCTTGGCATTTCCTGCTGTGGTGTGATGCAGCAAATACAGTTGATACAACCCACATCCGATCTAGCCCTTCCAACAGGTCCGCCTGTGGGTTAGAGGGCTATGTTAGTTGCAGTAGAAGTAAAAAGTAGAGCCAAACCCTACACACAAATCGGGTATAAACTAGGGCTGGGACAGGTAACTTGGGTACTTGGGTCGGGTGGGTCCTGAGTAGGACACGGGTATGACAGACGTAGTACTAGAGTCACTTTGTGGAATGGAGCCCTGGATCGTGTCAACATGGTCAAAGCCTGTCTGATATGTCCATCTTTGTATTTGGTGATAATCTTACCTTCCTTGTTTCTAGGTTCATCCGGGATGGCTGGAGGAAGATCTTCTGATGGCAACGTCTCCGATGACTACGGACAGAGAAGCAGCAGTGGACGAGCTTCGCCTCTCCCAGTTCGCAAGTCAGTTGCCGCCACCCAGACACCAGGCAACATCCATGCCAGACTTGCTCGCAAGACAAGTACAGATTCTTCGGGACTTGTATTCAGACCACCCTACCAACAAACCCCAGGGGACGAGTCCACAGAGTCATCTCCAGAACAGAGGTTTGGTCCTCCAGCTCAGGGTGCTGGACGGGGCAGCATGGTGGCAGGAGGCGTGGCAGGAGGCGTGGCAGGGGGCTTGCCCATCTCTACCTCACAAAGCAGTGGCCTGGAAGGGGGCATCAGGCCGGCAAGCAGGTTCAGGGACCTACAGTTCACTAAAAAGCCTCTGCATATACCCTACAGTGAGTTTGAACCTTATAAGGCCGATATACGAAAACGTGTGGAAATCAGTAGGACTTCAGGGTTGGATGGTTTGTTAGGTATTCATGTCATGTCAGGTCAGGGGCTCAAGTCTTCGAAGACAAGTCTACGTGACTTGTACTGTGTTGTGGCTGTGGACTCTATAAACAAAGCAAGAACAATGATACGCACTGGTGCTATTAATTTTGATTGGGATGAAGCGTTTGATGTGGAGTTGGAAGATTCGAAGGAAGTGTCATTTCTTATATACCACTGGGATCCTAACTACAAACATAGACTGTGTTTTCATGGGTCTGTTCTCCTGCCCGGCTATGTTCTCAGTGGGCAGAAGAAGTTTGTGGCAATAAAGATGGAGCCCAAGGGTATTCTGTTTGTGGCAATGTTGTACAAGGAACCTGCAGTGTCTCTACAGCGTCTGCCGTCTGTGAAGAAGAACGCTCTGTTCGGGGTGGACCTAGAGACAGTGATTCAGAGGGAGAAGTCAATACTGAATGTGCCACTCCTTGTCCACAAGTGTATTGAGGAGATCGAGAGGCGGGGCCTGGAGACCATAGGCATCTACCGATTGTGTGGGTCTGCCAGACGCAAGGTACTACTCAGGGAGGCCTTTGAGAAGAATGCACAGGCTGTGGATCTATCTCCGGAGAATGTGTCCGATGTACATGTCATCACAGGTACATTTTCCATCCCATATACCATATTTGCTGTAATAAGTGCCCAGGGTGCCGATGTACAAGTGATCTTAGTGCTAAGGTGATTGTAACGCCCATACGTTAACATTGACTTACGACAGTCGTAGTGCTAAGCTGTATTGTACAACGGCACCCCAGGTTATTAGAAAATTTAAAAATGCAAACACTTATTAAAACCATACACAGCATGTTAAGTTGTCAGTGATCGAGCAGTTAGTAAACAAACTTAGTTTAATCATCAATGAAAAACTTTCTGAAATAATAGCAAGTCTGTTATATACAGGTGGGGCACTGGTGTCCCAGTTGTCTAAGGTGCCGCAATTCGCTGTGCAGAGTTGCATCCCTTGGGCACGCCAGAAACCTATGATTGTGGGTTCGAATCCCGGTTTGCACAGATTATGTTTCTAGGTTTGTCAGCACCATACACGTGCTTGTGGGTTTTACTGAAGTGGTAAACGTCTGAGACCTGCATCATTTCGTGCTCTCCTCCCACATCAAGCTGGCACGCTGTGATATAACTGGAATAATGTTAAAAGTGGCGTTGAACCCAACTCACTCACTCACTCACTCATTGTTATATACACCTCCCACACTGCTGTTTTCTGTAAAGTACATCTGCAGTATAGAGCACTTAATATAGAGAATGCATGATTGATTTTGTGTCATTTGTAGGAGATGACTGCGATTCAATTGAAGTTGCAATATATGTAATGCTTTTATTGATCATGTTTAAAGTACTTTAAGAATATGATTTTAATGAATACTCTTCAACTTGTTGGAGATGATTGTTTAACAAAATGCTGACACAGTAATTTCATTTTTGCATCAGTTGATGAGAGTAATCTTTTGTGCCAATTTGAATCCTGGGTTTGTCTTTGATGATAGAATACTTCCAGTATTGGTGATTGATTGTTAGGGCTGAGATAGGATACTCGGGTAAGGTGGGTACTGAGTAGGACCCGGGTATCCCACAGGACTACCCGGACCCGTTTTTAGTCAGGTGATTTATTGTTTAATGACAAAAATTCACTATAACCATGATATCTCCATGGTTACTCTACAAGTCACAAATGTTTGCATTTCTTTGTGACTATGCACACATTCCTTCTGACTTTCATATGAGGCCTACAGCAGGTACCCGAGAGGGGTCGGGTAGTAGGGGGTTGGGTACCCGGGTAGTAAATTTGGACTCTTCCCAGCCAAACTTTGTTTGTGTTCTAATGTGATTAATATTTGTATCGTGAAGTAAAACATTTTGATCCACCAATGCCTTGGTGTATTGTCCCACCACTAGGGTATACACACCTTGTCGGGCGGACACTAACACTAAACAGTGGGGGATGGAGAGCTAGTGCTGTCCCTGCAGTGGCCGTAGCCCTTGCATGCACATCAAATGAACTCTACATGACTTGACTCAGAACCACTTGGTGCTCTCTCACAAACTTGTTTCAAACTGGGGAAAGTTTTTCCCTCATATTTTGCTCATTTGTTCGTATATCCATTTTCCATGTTACATCACAGAGTACCGTTTATCCCTGTGTATACATGGTATAAGGCGAGTTTTTCATGCCTAGAGTAGGGGGCTTTCAAGGGGGGTCAATTATACACAGGGTTAAAGAGTTTTGATGTTTTTTCCCCAACACAAAGACTGTGAGCACATAACACCAGAATTACCATGTCAACAAATCCGTACTGAAGTACGCAGCTGATTCATGTACTGACAATCCCCGGGTTTTAAAAAGAGTTCATTATATATCTGGATGAGTGCCTGGATGTTTGTAATCTATTTTATTTATAATATTCAAAATTTCATTTAATATTGTTTATATTCATTTCGGAGAAATCGTATGTGAAGTGATCGGAGGATCGCACAACTCACCGTTATTTACAGCAACCACGGTCATATTACTGCTACTGATGCCTTGAAACGAAGGGGGGTCGCCTTATCATGCTATGTGCGGGGTTGCTTTAGAGAAGGCGATACACGGGAGTATAACATGCCATGACAGATTAACTCGTTATATGAAAAACAACAGTGTTCCATAAATAGGATGAAGCAGCACAGTGTAGAATTCATAATAGAAATCTGAAGAAGAAACAATTGGGGTAGAATGTACTTTGCAGGTAGTGAATCGCACATGGTCACAAATTCTTTTTCAGTTGATCAATTAATTTGTCTAATGACAGTGATGTGTAAGAATGAAGGTGATTATGAGCAGAAGTACAGGCACAAAATATGTACATTCTGGGTTAGAACACGTCCCGAGTCAGCTATGTTTGTCATATGAGGCAGGGGAATGGACCAGGTGGTCAGACCCGATGACTCGGTTGATTGCCTGACTAGAGAAGGCATGGGTCGTTGATCATGGGTCGTCGATCATGGGTCGTCGATCATGGGTCGTTGATCATGGGTCGTCGATCATGGGTCGTTGATCATGGGTCGTCGATCATGGGTCGTCGATCATGGGTTTGTCATTATCTGGTCTGGTCCTCAATGTTATTTACAGGCTGCAATATTACATTTCCTGAGGCAAGGCAGTTAACTTACTATTAAAGTCCAGTTTCCACCCTTGCCGAACTAGGCTGGAATTACATAAACTCTTATCCTCCATCTGTTTCCTCACCATCCATCAACTCTTATCCTCCATCTGTTTCCTCTCCATCCATCAACTGTTATCCTCCATCTGTTTACTCCCCATCCATTAACTCTTATCCTCCATCTGTTTCCTCACCATCCATTAACTCTTATCCTCCATCTGTTTCCTCACCATCCATCAACTCTTATCCTGTTTCCTCACCATCCATCAACTCTTATCCTCCATCTGTTTACTCCCCATCCATTAACTCTTATCCTCCATCTGTTTCCTCACCATCCATCAACTCTTATCCACACTGTTTCCTCTCCATCCATCAACTGTTATCCTCCATCTGTTTACTCCCCATCCATTAACTCTTATCCTCCATCTGTTTCCTCACCATCCATTAACTCTTATCCTCCATCTGTTTCCTCACCATCCATCAACTCTTATCCTGTTTCCTCACCATCCATCAACTCTTATCCCCCATCTGTTTACTCCCCATCCATTAACTCTTATCCTCCATCTGTTTCCTCACCATCCATCAACTCTTATCCACACTGTTTCCTCTCCATCCATCAACTGTTATCCTCCATCTGTTTCCTCTCCATCCATCAACTCTTACCTCCATCTGTTTCCTCACCATCCATCAACTCTTACCTCCATCTGTTTCCTCTCCATCCATCAACTGTTATCCTCCATCTGTTTCCTCACCATCCATCAACTCTTATCCTCCATCTGTTTCCTCTCCATCCATCAACTGTTATCCTCCATCTGTTTCCTCTCCATCCATCAACTCTTATCCTCCATCTGTTTCCTCACCATCCATCAACTCTTATCCTCCATCTGTTTCCTCTCCATCCATCAACTCTTATCCTCCATCTGTTTCTTCACCATCCATTAACTCTTATCCACACTGTTTCCTCTCCATCCATCAACTCTTATCCTCCATCTGTTTCCTCTCCATCCATCAACTCTTATCCTCCATCTGTTTCCTCACCATCCATCAACTCTTATCCTCCATCTGTTTCCTCTCCATCAATCAACTGTTATCCTCAATCTGTTTCCTCTCCACCCATCAACTGTTATCCTCCATCTGTTTCCTCACCATCCATCAACTCTTATCCTCCATCTGTTTCCTCTCCATCCATCAGCTGTTATCCTCCATCTGTTTTCTCACCATCCATCAACTCTTATCCTCCATCTGTTTCCTCACCATCCATCAACTCTTATCCTCCATCTGTTTCCTCTCCATCCATCAACTGTTATCCTCCATCTGTTTCCTCGCCATCCATCAACTCTTATCCTCCATCTGTTTCCTCTCCATCCATCAACTCTTATCCTCCATCTGTTTCCTCTCCATCCATTAACTCTTATCCTCCATCTGTTTCCTCTCCATCCATCAACTGTTATCCTCCATCTGTTTCCTCTCCATCCATCAACTCTTATCCTCCATCTGTTTCCTCTCCATCCATTAACTCTTATCCTCCATCTGTTTCCTCTCCATCCATCAACTGTTATCCTCCATCTGTTTCCTCTCCATCCATCAACTGTTATCCTCCATCTGTTTCCTCACCATCCATCAACTCTTATCCTCCATCTGTTTCCTCTCCATCCATCAACTGTTATCCTCCATCTGTTTCCTCGCCATCCATCAACTCTTATCATCCATCTGTTTCCTCACCATCCATCAACTCTTACCTCCATCTGTTTCCTCACCATCCATCAACTCTTATCCTCCATCTGTTTCCTCTCCATCCATCAACTGTTATCCTCCATCTGTTTCCTCTCCATCCATCAACTGTTATCCTCCATCTGTTTCCTCACCATCCATCAACTCTTATCCTCCATCTGTTTCCTCACCATTCATCAACTCTTATCCTCCAACTGTTTCCTCGCCATCCATCAACTCTTATCCTCCATCTGTTTCCTCACCATCCATCAACTCTTATCCTCCATCTGTTTCCTCCCTTAATTGTTTCCCAGTATAGAGAAAACAATGTTGTGCACTTAGCCATGTGCTGCAAGGATGTACAGAAATGGTTTCACTGTTGTTACAAGCTGTTTTCTAAACCAAAACACGAAGGTTAACCCAGTGCTTGGCACATACAGAACCAAACTGTGAAATTTGCAAATTATCACACAAGATCAATAGTTACATTCAGACACACGGCTTTAGACCTACAATAAAAAAAAGGCATCACAGTGGGTCAAATACATAGGCGTATCAATCAGTAACAGGCCCTACAATATGTGTCAGTGTACAGACAGCCTTCTAGAGACTCACGTCCAGAAACTTCTTGAATGATTAAGTCTGTCATGTAAACTACAACCAGGGGAGGTAACTCTGAATCACTTCCAGTTAAGATGTGGCCACTACTACACTCAATATTTTAATATTTTACCAAAGCTTCATGCATTTGCTGCCACTGACAGTCAATGCAAATAAACTTGAAGAATCTCTACTGCCACTTAACATTATTATCAGCTCTTCTTTGGATTGGTGGAAATATGAATTGTTGTATATTATAGCGCAGACAACACGGGACAAAGATTAAAATCTTGAAATCGAGCAACATTGACACACAAGATTGGATGTCATTGACAACTTCAACCAAATATCGAGTTTCTCTATTTGTACCTGATTTTAGGATTGTTCCTCATGATCAGATATCATTGGCTGTCTTTACTGCAGGTGTGCTAAAGGATTACCTTAGAGAACTGCCAGAACCACTGTTCACCAACGCCCTCTACCAGATGCTGTTGGACGCACTGAGCGTGCGTCTCCCCAGCGACCCTGAAGGAAGCGCCACACTCATGCTCAGTATTCTAGAGTGCCTTCCCAAAGCCAACCAGGTGAGTGCCGTGTTTGTTATCTGTGTTCTGTTTCATGCTTGACGTCCTGGCATGTGCAAGTATAATGTCAAAGTCTGTGGAGGGCCCCTGCTCATAACCCTCCGCCATTGTGTGATTGACGGGTGCTATAGGTGGAGCAGGACATGCTTACCCTTTTTGCAAACACCTGGTGTCATCACTGATTTTCAGTTGCACTGTGTCTGTCTTTATCTCACAAAGGGGGTTGTACTTACAGTTGAAAAAATGTTGTTTTTCAGGTGTGCCACAGGGCATTTTCTTAAGATGTTTGGGTTAGATGAGCCCTTTGAAAGTTAAGAGTGCCATCTAGAAGAAAACTTTTGATCCATGATCAAACTGTCATTTAAATTTGAGCTTGTTATTATTCAATAATTTAGAAAGTATGCCCCTTCCTTTTTATTGAGATAATGCCCCTTTTAATTTCTGTATGCCTACATTTATTTCGGGAATCACATTGTGCATTCAGATCGTTTATGTGGTCATGGTTTACCATGTTTATTTGTGCAAAAACACATTTATCCTGGCTTCCTATAACAAACACATCAGAAAGTATTGTTTAAAACATATGTCTAAGCAAGCCCTTCAGGCCCTGGGAACTCATTTCAGCCTTGCCAGGACTTTTGACTCAGCCATCAACACTGAAATACAATGAATTTCTAACTGTGTATAGAGTAGATGTTGGTGCAGTGATCACTGTAATCACTGGTGAAGGTGATCTGCAAAGGAGTACCATTGGATCACACCATCCACTCAGGACAGACGAAGACGTCCTCTACAGACAGATTATAGTGCTTAAAACCGAACATGTAGCAAGTGGATGCTTTCCAAATGATTTTTCTTTAGGTCAGCAAAAAATTCTTGAACCAAAATATGATTTGAATGTATTCATTTATTTTCATATGACAGCTTCAAATCACATAAACAAATATGGAGGTATTATTGTAATAAACAGTTATGTCCGTCTTTGTCTCAGAACAAATAGGGTTCTTCCTTTGATTATCCATGGTCTGTTGGGAAGTTTCTGAGATTGCTTTATCCTGGACGTGAGTCGGGGAATGCTGTAGATGTGATGGGCAAGATGAAAGGAGAGTGATGACAGGATGGGATCGCTGCGAGCAGTCATGAAAGGAGCGGGAAGCTATCTGGAGGCTGCCTATTGGGGTAGTCTCAGTAGGTGGAGGGGTCACATCCTCACAGCTGTTTTAATTATTATCCAGTTGACTGTCAGAGATCTGAGAAGTTGAAGCCTGGAACATATCACTACACTAATGCCATCACAAGTTGCTCACTAATTCCCTGTCATTGTGGTCAAACTGGATGTCGGGAGATGAGAACATGAAACATTGTCATAGCAACAGCTTTCTAACATGGTTCAGTGCCTGGCTCAGTGTCTCACCAACAGCTGTTTTACTTGGTTCAGTGTCTCACCAACAGCTGTTTTATTTGGTTCAGTGTCTCACCAACAGCTGTTTTATTTGGTTCAGTGTCTCACCAACAGCTGTTTTACTTGGTTCAGTGTCTCACCAACAGCAGCTTTACATGGCTCAGTGCCTCAACAGCTGTACTTCACAAGCATCTGGCCACATGTGCCTATATGCCATAAAATGACCCACCCCGTCATGACCCTCCTGTTATCCTGACCACATGTGCCTATATGACATATAATGACCCTCCTGTAAACCTGACCATGTGTGCCTATATGACATATAATGACCCACCCTGTCATGACCCTCCTGTAATCCTGACCACATGTGCCTATATGACATATAATGACCCTCCTGTAATCCTGACCACGTGTGCCTATATGACATATAATGACCCTCCTGTAATCCTGACCACGTGTGCCTATATGACATATAATGACCCACCCAGTCATGACCCTCCTGTAGTCCTGACCACATGTGCCTATATGACATATAATGACCCACCCCATCATGACCCTCCTGTAAACCTGACCACATGTGCCTATATGACATATAATGACCCACCCAGTCATGACCCTCCTGTAATCCTGACCACATGTGCCTATATGACATATAATGACCCTCCTGTAAACCTGACCACATGTGCCTATATGACATATAATGACCCACCCCGTCATGACCCTCCTGTAATCCTGACTACATGTGCCTATATGACAAATAATGACCCACCCCGTCATGACCCTCCTGTAATCCTGACCACGTGTGCCTATATGACATATAATGACACACCCCGTCATGACCCTCCTGTAATCCTGATCACATGTGCCTATATGCCATATAATGACCCACCCCGTCATGACCCTCCTGTAATCCTGACCACATGTGCCTATATGCCATATAATGACCCACCCCGTCATGACCCTCCTGTAATCCTGACCACATGTGCCTATATGACATATAATGACCCTCCTGTAATCCTGACCACGTGTGCCTATATGACATATAATGACCCACCCCGTCATGACCCTCCTGTAATCCTGACCACGTGTGCCTATATGACATATAATGACCCACCCCGTCAGGACCCTCCTGTAATCCTGATCACATGTGCCAATATGCCATATAATGACCCACCCAGTCATGACCCTCCTGTAATCCTGACCACGTACCTATATGACATATAATGACCCTCCTGTAATCCTGACCACATGTGCCTATATGACATATAATGACCCACCCCGTCATGACCCTCCTGTAATCCTGACCACATGTGCCTATATGACATATAATGACCCACCCCGTCATGACCCTCCTGTAATCCTGACCACATGTGCCTATATGCCATATAATGACCCACCCCGTCATGACCCTCCTGTAATCCTGATCACATGTGCCAATATGCCATATAATGACCCACCCAGTCATGACCCTCCTGTAATCCTGACCACACGTGCCTATATGACATATAATGACCCACCCCGTCATGACCCTCCTGTAATCCTGATCACATGTGCCAATATGCCATATAATGACCCACCCAGTCATGACCCTCCTGTAATCCTGACCACGTGTGCCTATATGACATATAATGACCCTCCTGTAATCCTGACCACATGTGCCTATATGCCATATAATGACCCACCCCGTCATGACCCTCCTGTAATCCTGACCACATGTGCCTATATGCCATATAATGACCCACCCAGTCATATCCCTCCTGTTATCCTGACCACACGTGCCTATATGACATATAATGACCCTCCTGTAATCCTGACCACATGTGCCTATATGCCATATAATGACCCACCCAGTCATGACCCTCCTGTTATCCTGACCACACGTGCCTATATGACATATAATGACACACCCCGTCATGACCCTCCTGTAATCCTGACCACATGTGCCTATATGCCATATAATGACCCACCCCGTCATGACCCTCCTGTAATCCTGACCACATGTGCCTATATGCCATATAATGACCCACCCCGTCATGACCCTCCTGTAATCCTGACCACACGTGCCTATATGACATATAATGACCCTCCTGTAATCCTGACCACACGTGCCTATATGACATACTTTCATCAGCAGTGTCCGTGTTGAGCTAAAGCCGTCTTGGTAGTATGATTAGCGTTAGGGCAGCTTCTTTGTGCTCTGTTATTAATATTTCCTCAATTATGATCCAGTAAGATGCAGGAAATTAGATCGGAGCTTCTTTGATGACTCTACTGTAATCAATGTAATGTGAGGCGAGAGTATTCATGTATTCAGTCCTTAGTCCGGGCTGTATACGGTTACACTAGGTTGCAGCTCTATTCCTGTAATTACGCCAGCTGTAACCTCAGGGAAATCTGCTGCCAGCCATTTACACTGCTTCTCACCAGTCGGTGTGGTAAACAAGTTATGTCATCTCCTCCATCATTATCTGTAATGTTATTCCATGTAATGGTTTCTTGCAGAATATATGGGGGGTATGCCCTGGGGCTAATGAGAGTGGCTACTGATGGAGCTGTATGTCATTGCCAGCTAAGTTCATATTCAGTCTAACATTTGTTTGGTAAATTTAACAGATAATTATGAATTAGTATTACATATATTCAGATTCATCATCCAAAACTGGCTCCCACAGGAGATATGGCTTGGGTGAGATCAAGTGATATATACATTGTAGATATCGCTGCAATGAAATTGCATCACAATGCTTTGCAGACCTTTGTTATGTCATTGGTTACCAAAGACTACCATGACGTCATAATCAAATGACATCACTAATGCCTCTGCTGCTGAAGCTGTTTGCAGTACTTTTTACACTTAAGACACTGGATATTACTGTCCGCAAACTGAAAAAGTTGGTAGAATGATGTTGGATGATAAATAGAATCTCACCCTTGTGTCTTTCGATATCAAATATATCAACTTTTCTCTATCTATTGAATATGCTTTGGTTGTGTCTCTAGTCAAGCCCTTACTTTCCTTTATACATCATTATCTTATCACATCATTTCAAGAGGACTGTTTGGTAGCCTGGAGGTTGAAGCGCTGTGATTGCTGCAGTGAGAACCTGTGTTCAATTCTTCACGTGGGTACAATATGGGATATTTCTGATATCCCTAGCACCAGACTAGAATATTAGCAAATCCAGCAAATACCCTACCCTTTACAGTGTAAATTTTATCTGTGTGGGAAATCTTTTATTTATGAAGAAATTCATTTTTACTAATATTAACATATGTATTTCATTTAACTTTGCGGCACCAAGCCCTGATTCACTTATAACCTTCTATGGAAAAAATATCGTATTTTCTTGAGTATAGTGCGCACCCATGTATAATGTGCACCCCCCTCTAGCGGATTCAGTATTTTGGAATTAAAAAAATTTGAATGTCAAGCGCAGAAAAAAAATTACACCCTACATCTACCCCTTCAGCGAATTCCGGTAAACGAACAGGGATGAGAAACTTGGTCAGTACAAATTCGAAATTTGAGATAAAAAATCACCAGACATGTTTATTTACCGTTTACTGTTCTGCTAGGAATTGTTTTACATCCAGGGATTAAGATTACCCTGTGTATTTTCTCGTAAACTAAGCCGGAAATAGCAATCAGCTGTAAACACGTTTTCTTGGAATCTACCAGTGATTCGGTCAAGACACACCCAATGATATAACTTTACAGGATTTCAGTGCAAGTATTGGCAAAAATTGTATCTGAAACTATTTTTGACTCTGTATCACAGCAATCACCACTTCATCAAATGTTATTTCAACCAGGGCTCTGTTCCTCAACACGATCTTAGCGCTAAGATAATCATAACTCCCATACTTTAACATAGGCTTACGACAGTCATAGCGTTACGATCGCTTTGTGGAACGGGGCCCAGAGCAACAACTTCACACGTCGCAGTCAGCCATGACGTTTGACAACTTGCAGGTCGCACCTTGTGCTTCTGTTACATCACCCAGAGCCACAACTTTGCACACTAATGTCTGCCACGCTGTTTGATGGGAGTGAGTTTATGAGTGCTGGTGATACTCCCCAGAGCTAGCCCAGCCCCATCACTGTCATGGGTACATGGTAGGGGCAGTAAAAAGAAACACATGTTCAATTTCCTCTTGGGTCCACACGACAGGAAAAACTCTGTTCTGGCAAGGAAATTACATTTCGACTTTTTAAACTATCCTATCATTGGTTTCTTGTGGAACAATTGTTTAAATCCTCCTGTTGTGATAATATAGATTTTGGGGGGAATGTTGGCGTGTGTGGTTGGTGTTGTCTGCAGTCGCAGAGAGATGTTGAGTGGATGTGGTTGGTGTTGTCTGCAGTCGCAGAGAGATGTTGAGTGGATGTGGTTGGTGTTGTCTGCAGTCACAGGGAGATGTTGAGTGGATGTGGTTGGTGTTATCTGCAGTCACAGGGAGATGTTGAGAGGATATGGCTCGTGGCATCTGCAGCCAGGTTGCCATAGAGCTATGATGCCACACATTCAGCCTTGTCACATATTGGGACCACCCTATCTCCATACTTGTCCCCTCATTCAGCAAGCACCTGTTCTGCCCTTGAAGGGATATACAACATGTACATAGGTGCATAGATGCTGTGCTCAGCTGGTTGATAGCTTAGCTATGTGTTATCTAATACCAAGTGAGCATATTCTGAATTCTGAATTTGGTCCAGCTTGTCTGGTCCAGACTTAATTATTTATTGACACGTAGCTGGAATATTGGAGTGCAGAGTTAAAAAACAAACAAATGAATGCAATTATTCTGTGCACCTGTCTGAGAATGTTGTTTCTTCCTGCAGGACACAATGACAGTGGTGTTGAACCACCTGAAGCGAGTAGCGTCCAACTCGGACAAGAACAAGATGACCTTGGAGAACCTAGCCATCTGCCTGGGCCCGGCACTTCTGTGTCCCTCTCCCGCCACTTCCACAGACGCAGCCCTCGACTTCAAGAAGCACATCGAGGTCCTTCTCTACCTCTTGCAGATCTGGGACAATGGCAGCAACACAAGTAAGATTCTGTTAGCTCTTGTGTCTTGTGATACAGAGGAGTGTCAGCATCATGACTAACATAGATCTGCAGTAGCGTATAGGACTTGGGAAAGTGTAGCAACAGCATCACTTTTGGGAGTGAGTGAGTGAGTTGGATTTAACGCTGCTGTAAACAGTATTCCTGTTATATCACTGTGTGTCAGCTTTGTGTGGGAGGAAATCCCGAAGTGATGCAGGTCTCAGACCTTTACAGCTGTGGTGGAACCCTTGATCATGGTGCTGACAAACCTAGCAACATAATAGGTTTCTGGCATGCCCATGGGACATCACTTTGTGGAACAAGACCCACTTTATCACAGTCTTAGCAACACAAATTAGATGACATTGATTGTTATCCTGGTTCTTGAACAGGATCAGAACTATCACCATGTTAAGGTATGTGAGTTCCAACACTCCTTAATTACTTTGTAGAAATAGGCCCTGACAATGGTACACATTTGGTACCAAAATGGAAAAATTGGTTCACTACTTTTGACCATCCAGTTTAACAGATGTACAATAACACAAATTACATTTTGTAGGCACATCCAAGTCATCCACTGCTGACACTGTGGTTTCCGTGGAGACGGGTTCTGGTGGAGGCACCACAGCAGAGTCATCTGAGGGTCAGCCACGGCAGGAGCGTATCGCAATGGATGGAGACTAACATCCATCGGTTGCCACAGACACAGACTAGACGCTTCAACCGTTTGTTGCCTGTCAGACTAGTGGCTTTGACTATTGTCTTGGACTCAGCTTGTAGAATTAAGGACGCTATAAGGCGAGGTCATCCAAAGTTCCAAACCAACACTGCCAATATCACATTATGTTTCCAGCGTACGACTACGTGCGCTGCTCTGTGTTCTGGGTGAGTGTGTATTGTGGGACCTTCAGCCCATCCATCACCTGTACATGCCATAGTGTTGATGTTCGTATGTGTGTTCAGAAACCAGTGGAGATTGTTTATAGCTAAGATCATCTGATGAAGGGACATCAGACCATGAACCTCACTTTTGTATTGATTTTAGAACCAAACGCCTATATTGATACACAAAGCTGAATTTTCAAAGAAGAATACTCTGTTGTTATTTTATACAACACATTTTAGTGGACAAAGTGCAATATATTGACAGCTTTTGCAGCAGTCTTCAGCAAATGTTCGTCCGTCTCACCTGTTGACAATTTGTTGACATCTCCTGTAGTTGGAGCAGACATCACTGCTACAAACTCGGAACACCACCACCCCATCAGCACCTCCTCCTTCACCCCTGCTGGGAGCCTACTGTCATGTGACCTGTCTGCAGATCTACACCAAATTTGATGCCAATCCCTCAGTTAGATGATAGATCAAGATGTTGGAGCAAGTTCAGTCAAGTCATAACACCTTTAACTGTTTGATGACTAGATAGTGAGTGTTTGTCTGCCCCGTCGGGTTCTAGATGTATAGTTGGAGATACTGGATGAATACGGGTCATCGAAGCCTGGAGCAGGAAGTGTTGTGGAATACGGACATGCCTGTGTGGGATGACTAGAACATGTAGTTGGTTGGTCATAGAACTATCTCACATCCATAAAACCTCTTGTTGATTAACTCTGGTGAAGTGAATAATATTTTTGGTTCATGAGTTTGTTACAAGATAACTTACAAGGGTTTCCATTGTCTAAGAATAACACTGACTAACAAGGCCAGATATTGGCTTATTTTGCATCTATTGAAGAAGACAGGAGTGTGTAAAAATCAATATGGATTTTTTAAAGTTTTATCATATAAATTTTTGTCTTATGAAATTTAGAATATTATGAATTCAAAAATCAGAAATTTGAAATGTGTTATTGAAATTTCATTAACTTTATAACAGTGCTGTTGAATAATGAAATGAATCCTATAAGATCTGATGTCGGTCTGTTGATTAAATGTAGATGGTGTGGAACTTTTGAAAAAGGAAACAGTACCTTCCTTTCATTCCATAACAAACAAAATTGGCAAATAATTTAAGCGAGTGATACAGTAGTCTGAAGTTCAACCAACTGTAACACATACAGTATTCCACGTCAGTGTGTGTACTTCCGGTCAGGGCGATGTTGCCACTCTGAGAGCAGCTACATGAATGGTGAATTTAACCTTTAATCTTGATACATGAGAAAAATGGCACGCTATCAGTGCATGTAGTCACACATCCGACAATCGGTCAGCCTCGCTGACAATAACACGGCAATAAGCGGTTTCACTGTCACACGAAGGATTTTATATAGATATACTCATTTGTTTCCAAATTATATATTACCAAGCTGTCATTATTGCTTTTTGATAGTTTCATGCTTAAAAAATTGTCAGAACTGTTAACTTCAGTGATGATTTTACAGAGCTTCAAAATATTTCTAAGGATTTAAAACAATTTAGTAATTGTGTTTTTGAAACTAATGGGATTTGCTTACATAATTACATATGTAATAACAGTTTGAACAGAGAGAGAAAACAAATACCTCAGTTTCTTTGGAAGACAGCAGCTATTCGGGTTCTTATCATCATCGTCATCAACCTGAACCAGCCTTGCATCATTTTTGTAAGGGAGATAACTCTACACATTTGAACAAGGGACTTTCAGCAAGGTCATGCGTGAGAAAACAAAATGGCTGTTTGTGTTGTCTACTTATGTACCTGTTAAATTCATAATGGGCATAATTTGTCAAGTATGTTATTTGGAAGGGATCTACATGGAGAATCTCACACAAACTAGCCCCTTTGTCAAGAAATAAAAACTTAAGACTTTGTACCGAAACTATATTAGTTTATATATAGGGGTTTCCATAATGATATAAATTATTAGTAGAATAATGTGTATCATACAACTTAAATTGCCTTTATAACCAGGTACCTTGTCTGTTATGAAGAAAGAGTTGTGTGCGACAGTTGGACTGATTCTGTGATGAACGTCTCGGGCGTTCCAGCGCACATCTCTGTGTGGTCGACATTCAGCGGTTGTGGCGTCCTACATTGCACTTTTCTATATTCTTATACAACAACTAGTGAGAGAAATTGTTTTAGCATCTGTAACATATGTACTCCTGTTATTCAATGCCATTGTTGAAATGTTGTAATATACTTTAATGTTTGCTCCTGTTTCCAATGCAGATTTGAAGGTTGTGGCACGAGGCTAAGAATCAGTATTTAGCAACTCACTCTGTTGTACTTGGGAAGGATTTAGATGACTGTTGTCCGTCTCGCGTTCACGTTGTGTGACATATACTGTCACTTTCACCAAACTGGCTTCTATTCTGTTGCTTTCTGCTCTTCGACTGACAACATTGGTTTCAAATGCTGAACCTACTTGACAAACATGAAGTAGATGGTGTGAAGAATCTGTAAAGTTGTGGCCTCAGGTCCAATAGCTCCAAAATAGCTCTCAGTTCTCTTTCACAACAGGGACGGTAGGGTAGCCTAGTGGTTAAAGCGCTGGCTCAGCGCACCGAAGTCCCGGACCGATTCTCCACATGGGTACAATGTGTGAAGCCAATTTCCGGTGTCCCCAGCCGTGATATTGCTGGAATATTGCTAAAAGCGGCGTTTAACCATACTCTTTTCACAACCAGAAAATTTTGAAATAAGTTTGAATTTCAACACATTTGAACTAGGGTAACTTTACACCAAAACAATGATGACCTGTTGTATTGTGGTATTAAGTATCTAGGGAGGCGGAGTCCCACGTGTAGTCCACCCCTTACAAGGATGCTGTAGACGCAAGGATGGATTCTCATTCTGACTGTATAGATAGTTGCTGTACTAAATGAGACAATCATGTTTTTGTTAGTTTTGTTTGTTTGTTGAATCTGTATCATGTGTGTAATAATTGCTCTTGTTTATGATGAAGTGTGATATTTTCCTCGTGCAATATAAAAGTCTATTGCCTTAGTTTATCAGTAGGCCTTAATGCAGGGTTAAGTGGGCATATTGTCACGGGGGCAGTTACCATGGTATTTTCTATCTGCAGCAAGCTAGGTACATCCAGTTCAGTGGTTCAGTGACTTGCCAGTAATACTCTTTAGTGTTGGACAAACATCCATGTCCATCTAAGGTATCACCAGTGGGTGTGCAGAATAAGTGGATGCTGTGTTGCAGAACTTCTGCCAAGTCGGGATCTATTTAAGTGTACTTCCTTGTTTTACAGACTACCCTCAACTTTACAAGATTAATGATAGACTACTAATGTTGTGATTGACTGAAAATATACTTTGGTATGTTTTTTGAGAAAAACATTTAATGTATGATTTTATAAAGATAATTATACTAAAATGCAACTTTTTGTTAACCTGTAAATAAAAACTAAACTGGTTGGGTCTAAAGAGAAGGAAACAACTTTTTTCCAAACGTAAATTAAGATATTTGTAGTTAGACCACTATGTTTTCAAGAATGGCTTAAGATTAAAGATTTTCAAAAATAAATATAAACATAGGTTCTGTTAAGTAAGCAAATGATTGTTGATGTGAGGCACTGTGAGATAGTGAATGTTCAAGTCCACCCTATCAGGAACAGAGAGCTATACCAAAGCAACAACCTCCCCCCCCAACTGCTAATTCTGTTTGTGATAAGTATTTCAAGTATCATGTACAAATATTCTGGTTTTGAATGAGAGGTGATGTCTTCATCTTATTTGTTATAACTGCAGCTAGTTTGTTTTGTATATAATTCATCTTTACAGCAGAAATGTTCCACCATTGTCTTAGGTTCTATGATTTTGTGGACTAAGCCCCCAACTGGGAGGTGATATTGTCTCATAATCATCCAGTTTAATATTTCCATGTGCAATATTGTTTCAGTTGTTACTTTGTCCATTATTTTGTTATGGTATTTTGTACATTGTTATACATTGTCTTGTTTGTTGTTACATGTGCTCAACTCTCAGTGAACCAGTCCACCATCCTCCAACCCTGATGTACAGTGTCCGTGTCCTCGCTTCAACGTGACACCCACAGCTATACACCAGGGACAGGAGGATGTTCGTTCACAGCTACTCCTTGTCTCATAGGATGACAGATCTTTATTGTTGATGTAGCTTTTAGATTTAGGCTTAAGATTGGTTTCAGTCATCTGAAAATAATTTGATTTTGTCTTATATTTACATCAGTGTAGAATAACATGGTTAGTTGTGCAGATACCAATAATAATAATAATAATAATAATATAAAATGAGTATCTGTAATGCGCTACTGACTTTCCGAAGTATGCCTAACAGCATTATTACCATGGTCAGTGGATCAGGTTTGCACCCGATTTTCTTTCTCAGCTCCCTGGGGAGTATACAACCCAAGCTGCCTGTGAGGCTCTAGAAGGTTGAGTTCCCCATGCTAGTGCATGTAGAAGACCATTGTGTCCCCAGCTGGGATATTCCTGGAATATGTCCAACAACGACATGAAACCCAACCCATGTAATCAGTGTGGTCAGCTGTAATATGCTGTGATATTCCTGGAATATGTTCAACAACGACATGAAACCCAGCCCATGTAATCAGTGTGGTCAGCTGTAATATGCTGTGACATTATTCGAATATGTACAAATTCAAGGAAGACAATTTATGGATGTCAACTTCTTTATTATGAGGAACACAACGTTTCAGAATATATACTTACTCCTTCATCAGGTGATAAAGAATATACTCCAAAACGTTGTGTTCCTCATAATAAAGAAGTTGACATCCATACTTTCTCTTCCTTTTGTGTATAAGTGGGCGGTGGGGTAGCCAAGTGGTTAAAGAAAGCAGGGTTTGATTCCCCACATGGGTACAATGTGTGTCCCCCACCGTGATATTGCTGAAATATTGCTAAAAGCGGAGTAAGACGATACACACTCATTCCTTATGCGTATCACTTCTAAATGCCATTCAAAGATTTGGTGTACACATTTGTTGTTTACTGATATCATACTCATGATGCAGTCCAAGACAAAATCAAGTTATTTTTAAGATTTTAGAATTGTTTCTATGGTTTTTTTACTATTTTTAAGAAATCTAGTCATTTTACAGTTCGGCTTACATGCTAGATGTGTCATATCATCAGATTTTGCTTTGTTCTATTTTACACGTTTCTTATTCATTTCATATCTTACTTTTGAAAATGTTCTACTTTGACCAATCTTAGTCTCAGCCTTCAGTTAGATTTACTGTGAATGCTGCTCGTTGCCAGGCAACGGTTCCATGGAAGGGATATGGTTAGGACAGTGGAGTTGTCCGGCTGTATCAGTTGCCATTGTTATGAAACACAAATGCCCTGATTGTAAGTTTGGATCAATCCCCGATGTTCTTTATAAGCTGTGTGATTTGTTTGCCAAAGACTACAAGAACAGGTTCTGAATATCCGAATTACACTTTTGCCAATACTTTTGTCATTTGCCTTTTGAGTAGATAGAATTTCAATGTTTGACCTGCTTTCATGTGCATCATGATTTCTTCTTCGTCCATGTTTATGACAATTGTAATTGGACGTTCTAGATTTGGCTGGTACCTTCAACTCTGTCCAGGGTTATTAGGGACCTGTCATTTACTATTGGGGAATCACCTCTTGGAAGTGCCAACAAAAAATACCCGTGTCGAGGTTAGGGATCGGCCTATATCCCATGTCGGCCTATATCCCGTGTCGGCCAATACCTTGTACTATACAGGACACAATTGTGAGGAGGGTAATGGAATATATGGTTTTTAATAAGAAAATAAGAAAGAAAGACAATGATAATTGTGAATCCTTTGGGAAATAAATTTAAATATATTTCATGATGAATTATTTTTATGTGATTGTTTCATTTTTTGCATTATGGCAATTTTGCATAATGACAACAATGTGAAGTGGGCCGGGAACAAAATGGGATATTTTGGAAGGGGTCATCTTGTCTTAATACACTTTGAGGAGCATGTGTGGGTCCCCTATAATGACTGACAGGTCTCTTATGTCACACTGCGACCCTGGGTCCTGGGTCCTGGGTCCTGGGTCCTGGCCCTGAACATGTAGATGTACCACTCTGCCTGTTGTGGAGGCAGCTGTAGTCCTCAGTTCTATTTGTGTGACGACTGTTTCTAGCCATGACTGTTTGAGTGCAGCAGAGCAATAACAAATATTCCAACATTCAGAATCCATTAGGTGAAAAACCTTGAAAAACAATCATAATCCTATTCCTTGATTGCTTCATTATTTTGTGTTTAGTGTGTGTCATCACGACTAGATCTATATGAATTATGACCGAAATTATTTCAAAACATTTTCTTGTTGGTGTATGGCTATAATGAGGAATACCTGGAATGATTCAGGAAACTTTTACACGAAACTATTCCCCTTTGGACTATTTCCATTTCATATTGCCTGCTGGAAGTGGAATCTTAACTTGTACAAAGCTTGACAGTGGAAGAGAGCGGTGAGAGAATATACATGGAACGTGTTGTGTGGATGACATCATGTTTGTGTACTGCACCACATGACACAAGACGTATGTATGTACAGATCTGCTGTTGCATACCGACACGGCTGCTTCAGACAGTCCTAGTCCTGCATATACAAATACTGAGATATATATTATATATTAAGACTGGCTTGCAATCATGGTATATTCTATGTTTCTACAAATTATCAGTCTCTTGAACAATTTCATAAGGAGGTGAAATTATAAAGAGCTATAATGAACCGAATGTGTTTGTTGTTTGTCTGAAGTCATTACATAACACAACTGGTGAGATGTGTGAGGTACTTGATGTTTGCCATACAAAGGAATTGCCTCGGTCGACAACCATTTTGAAGTTCCTGATATATTCCCCAAGTCACAGCAGGTTCAACCCTGCTTTGAACTGATTTTGTATATTTTAGTTTCTAAGCTTAACAGTATAGTATTGTGAGTTTAATCAGACCATTAATGGCCAATACAAGCTCATCTGCTTTGGCAACTGTGTGAGAATATCAAGGCTAAGAATCACGTCAGAACGACCTTTCGCGAACCTTGACATCCCACTGAAAAGACTAACAAGAAGCCAATTAGAAATCGGCTTTCTCAAGCTTTACGGCACTCGTTTCAACCTGGCGAGTTCCATTTCAGATGACACTTGAAAAATATGTTGACACAGTTCTCGATTAAAATTTTGAAAACTGAACAAACGAACATTCCAGAATGTATTTTATATTGTTGCGATTGTATGGCAATGCTTCCCACGTACTGTGTGCAACGCCTCCTCCGTTCAAATGTTTATCCCATGCAAACGAGAGACAGACCATAATTTTGACAGAATCAGTTGTACGGGTCGTAACTGTCATTCGGAATACCCCGTGTTAATGTTTTTGAGGTTGCATGATTAGAAAACACATTCCAATTGTCACTTTAGATGCTTTGATTGGTCGGATGAAAGGTCGTTCTGACGTGACCATTAATGGGATGTCCTCAGATCTTTGTTTAGCGATAGTGAGAACTAAGATCTGATTTGAATGAGATTGAAGAATCATGGAAAGCTAACTAAAAGTGTGTTGTTCCACCAAGACAATCTACTGTGCACAAGTCTGTTGTCATGGCTGCGATTTGGCATCCTCCGTATTCACCAGATTTCCAACTCTTCTTAAATTTGAAGTAAGAACTGTCTGGCAAGGATTATGCAAATGATGATGACATCATTTCTGCTTTACAGAACTTTTTACACCACCGACAGGAGGCCTTTTACACCAGTAGGATCCTGGCATTGTTGTCAGTAGTGTGTGGACCATGGACTATCAGTTAGGCTCAAGACCTTTCAGCCACCCCTCGTGGTGTTGTCAGCTTGATGTGAGATTTGTTTGTTGTTTAACACTGCTCTCAGCAATATTCCAGCTATATGATGGTGGTCTGTAAATAATCAAATCTGGACCAGACAATACAGTGATTGACATCATGAGCATGGATCCATGCAATTGGGATACGATAACATCAAGAAAGTCAGCGAGTCTGACCACTCGATTCCGTTAGTCGCCTCTTCCAACAAGCATAGTCATCTTTTACGGCAAGCAGGGGTTGCTGAAGACCTTTTCTACCCAAGGTATTCACGGGTCTCTTGATGTGAGAGGAAAGCCTGAAGTGATGCAGACTGCTGACCATGTGAAACACAATGGCTTAAGCAAGAGGCTGACAAAGCAAGAACCATGATGAACCCACAAGAATGCAGACATCCCCGAGTCTGTGGGTTTGGTGTAAACACAGTGCCCATTAGGCTATCTTGCTGGCTCATCCACTGAATAAGAATATGAACTTTAAGTATGCTGTCACAATCAACTCAAGGCAAAGTAAACACTAAAGCAATACCACATTACAGTGTAACTTGGTTCAAACATATTTTTATTTCAAAAGAAATCTGGATCGGTAAACAAGCCAAACTTGCTTATGTAAATACCTCCCCAGGTAACAACTTAACAATAGCTGGTTGTATATAAGATAGTGCTACACATAAACATACTAAATACACAAATGAAATACATGAAGCCAATACATTAAAGCAAGTGGTGGCTGTGAAATAAGATCATGCAGTTTTCCATTACTACATGCATAAAACTAAGCTACTCAAATCTTTTGCTTTTGACAATGAAATCATGAACTGATTGATGACTAGTCGTGATTGTAGAACTGTGACTGAACTACTGCCCTGTAATATTGTTTTAACTCGTACCCATGTGTGTAGAAATACATAGTGTTTCTATGGGTTACAGAGTAACTTCCTGATATGTATCCATGATGTCCGAGACCGAGTACATTCTCAACATCTATGGCTTACTAGTAAGTGACTTAAAGCACATTCCAGATGAACACAAGAATCCAATTTTTTAATTATGAATTATTTATTGTACTATCAAAACCCTCTTTCAAGACACCAATTTCTATTGAGATGGGTATTCAACAGTAAAATAAAAAAAATAATTCATTATTGAAATCTGATCCTGTGAATTGGAATATGTTTATAGTTTGCTTGTGGTCAGAGCTTCCTTGACTAGTCGAGCAGTGTGTTGGGCACAACCCCAGTGTAGTGTGATCCCAGCGCCACCGTGGCCGTAGTTGTGTACAACCTGCAACATCATCAACAACACAACTACCGGCACTGTTAACTTACATAGATTCACATCTAGTCCTTCCAAATACAGCTAGCCAACAGGACACACTGGCTTGCTGTGACAAAGATAATAGATAAGTCAATATGAAGCTGTATTTTCTCGGGGGGAAATAAACATCTTATACCCCGCCATGAGTAAGTCAGACTGTATGTGGATGTCTGAGAGGCAGAATAAATCCCTTATTCCCCGATCATGAGTCAATGAAAGTCAAGTTACATAGCACCAGTTAACCTGGGCTCACTCTAACAGTTTTCTGTCAATTTTGAATTTGTTTCCGGCTCGTGGTATAAAAACTAACTCGAGACCCATAAAACCCCATGTACCCCTCTTGATCCTGCTACAACTTATAGTATTTCATAGCTTAAGGCAAACATGATTTGTGTTTCATTTAGATGGTATCTGAAGCATGTTAAGGTTGATTAGACCTACTGGTAGTGTTATCCCCGACTTCATCTTCAGAGGTTGTGTCTCCAGTCTCACTTGTGTCCGTGAGGGCCTCAGACCTACCTTGTCAGACTCTATCTTCACTCCCTACAAACAAACATTCTATGAGACGAAAACAGTCAATATTTTGAAAAATTGAACAAAATTTAAAAATACACATCCCGAACGAAGGTCACCTAACATCTCAGCAGTGGATCCGAGCCGTGAAGATCCGGGGTAGAATAGGTCTTCAGCAACCCAGGCTTGCCGTAAAAGGCGACTAACGGGATCGGGTGGTCAGGCTCGCTGACTTGGTTGATGCATGTCATCGTATCCCAAATGCATAGATCGATGCTCATGATGTCAATCACTGGATTGTTTGGTCCAGACTCGATTATTGACAGACTGCCATCATATAGCGAGACTATTGCTGAGTGTGGTGTTAAACAACAAACAAACAAACAAACAAACAAACAAACAAACGGTGGCGGATCCAGGGATTGTGGGCAGGTTCGTTCCCCTTATCACCTGCTGATGGAGGGGAGATGAAAATACAAATATACTTTTCTGGACCTGTTACGATTTATTACCTAAACATTAAATGCTTTCATGCCATTCTTGACCTGTCTTGAAATAAACCACATGAACTGGTAAAACTCCCCCATCTGAGATATGAACAAGAAACGTGACTTGCCACCTTCACTGGACTCTGCCACCAGGATTACTAGAAGAAGTATTAAATTTTGCTACTGTTCAAGGAATGACTGTCTTGAATATTTTATGTCCGCTTCAGTTACTTTTGTCACATGACTGAGATACTTCTCAAAGCAGAGACAAACACAACCCCTACTGACCTTGAGACTGGGCAGCAATGACAGCGCCCTCTGGAGTATGCCCCGATGGTCTGCCTCATCTACGCCTGTATTCCAGTTCCCCTCTTGTGCGACCCCGCCTACCACAAGGCTGCGAGAGCTACAACGACGACAATCAGAAAACTATCGCACATAACGTAGGTATACACGATCTCACAACCGCTCCGGCACGGAAATACAAGCATTTTGATAGTACTCATTTCGCAAAATCAGTACCACAAACACTCGTAAAATCGCCTTGATATCACAGCGGCCTGTAAATATTGAAACAAACCAGTGGTTGAGTACAAACCAACTCCCCATGGTCTAAGGATACACGCAATTAGCCAGGTCACACATTGTAGTGATTCATGTTGTTCTACACAGCTTTTGGATAAAATTATTATATTCCAGCAATTCTTACGGGGGGGGGGGGCACCTCACATTAAATCCACACGATGTTAAGTGGGTTCTTACCACAACCAGTGAGCATGATAGACCTGTATAATCCAGTCACATTAGATAGATAGATAGATAGATAGATGATAGACCTGTATAATCCAGTCACATTAGATAGATAGATAGATAGATAGATGATAGACCTGTATAATCCAGTCACATTAGATAGATAGGTAGATGATAGACCTGTATAATCCAGTCACATTAGATAGATAGATAGATAGATAGATGATAGACCTGTATAATCCAGTCACATTAGATAGATAGATAGGTAGATGATAGACCTGTATAATCCAGTCACGTTAGATAGATAGGTAGATAGATAGATGATAGACCTGTATAATCCAGTCACGTTAGATAGATAGATAGATAGGTAGATGATAGACCTGTATAATCCAGTCACGTTAGATAGATAGATGATAGACCTGTATAATCCAGTCACATTAGATAGATAGATAGATAGATAGATGATAGACCTGTATAATCCAGTCACGTTAGATAGATAGATAGATAGATAGATGATAGACCTGTATAATCCAGTCACGTTAGATAGATAGATGATAGACCTGTATAATCCAGTCACGTTAGATAGATAGATAGATAGGTAGATGATAGACCTGTATAATCCAGTCACGTTAGATAGATAGGTAGATAGATAGATGAAAGACCTGTATAATCCAGTCACGTTAGATAGATAGATGATAGACCTGTATAATCCAGTCACGTTAGATAGATAGATAGATAGATAGATAGATAGATGTGTATTCCGTTTTGGAATTAAACACATTCGTAAACATGTTTAGATCTAAACATGTCTTGTATGTGTTCGCATTCTAAACAGTTTTTACAGTGTAAGATACATAAGAATAATAGAAACAAAATAATGAATAACATTCAACATTCACTAATTGCAATCAACATCCAACTTCAACCGAAAGGGGGCGGTCGGGTAGCCTAGTGGTTAAAACGTTCGCTGAGTTACGCCGAAGACCCGGGGTCGATTCCTGACATGGTACAACGTGAAAAGCTCATTTCTAGTGTTCTCCGCCGTGATATTGCTAGAATATTGCCAAAAGCGGCGTAAAACCATACTCACTCACTCAACCAGAAAACTCCAACGAAACCTGGACACTCTTCTGAGTCCAAACGTTACTAGATTTACGACTAGAATCAAAATGATGGAACCATGACAGTGGAAAGCGGTTGTGAAACATTAGAGTAATGAATCGGTTTGACAGAGAAACCTAGGGAGAAACCCCGACAAAGACTCACTGGAATACGAACGCAAACGTACCCAGGAAATATGTACGTTGGAAGTGCCTTGGAGGATAGGAAGAGGTAGAAGTGCTTCACCCACGGAGCGTGCATCTGTAATCATATACAAAGATAGTTATAGGGCCCCGTTTCACAAAGAGATCTTAGCTCTACGATGATCATAAGCCTATATTAAAGTATGGGAGTTACGATGTCCTCAGCGCTAAGTCCGCTTTGTGCAACGGGGTCCAGGTATTATCTGGTTCTGATTCGATACTAACCAACTTCGAGGAAGTACGGATTTCACAAGGAGTGAAAATGAATATAGAATGAGGTGAGGTGAAGTGAAATGTGTGTGCGTGCGTGCGTGCGTGGATGCTTGTACTAGTCTAGACAGATGACAATTTTATAGTGCTACCCCACAGAGATATGTCAACGAAATCAGATATGCGAAATGTCAACTATAAGGAGTAATATCACTGATAGTCAACCTGCTGTTCAGATGATGTCATGTATTAACTTGTGACGTCATGAATAAAAGATGACTTATTATACTACTGTTCTCAACAATGACGCACTGTGATGAGCATAGTTATGGGTTAAATATTTAAGTATTGATTGTGACACTTTGAGTTCATTGGATCCTAATTTTGTACAGTACACAGTATATGTTTTTAAGTATACAATTATTAGTGTTGTTTATATTCATTTTGACCTTGAATTCAACCTTTTAGCGTACGTTGGCGAAAGTATGAGAGTTATTCGCTGATACTTTGTGAATCTCAGATCTCAGATCTGAATAATGAACATATTGTGAATGATTGACATAGTTTACAGCTACAATATACAATATATCGTTATTGGCACATCTCCATGCATATGGCAGCCGCTGCATATATGTTTATATTGCCGAGAGTCTCACCCGCAGCACTTGTCCTCGGACAGGCTTGAGAGCCGTGTCTTGCACGAGAGTATAGGAGCCCAGTCCAGTGCAGTTGACCACCACGTCATACTGACCCGCCATCTGGGGACACGGTCAGACATGAGTGACATGGAGAATGTAAGAAGCAAACAAGCCAGGCACTGCTGACGTCGTAATTACTTAATAGTCGGTTAGTTTGTTGTTAAACGCCGCACTCAGCAATAGTCCAGCTATATGACGGCGGTCTGTAAATAATCGTGTCTGGACCAGACAATCCAGTGTATCACGAGCATCGATCCACGCAATTGGGATCGATGATATGTATCATCCAAGTCAGCCAGCCTGACCACCCGATCCCGTTAGTCGCCTTTTAACGACAAGCATGGGTTGCTGAAGATCTATTCTACCCCGGATCTTCACGGGTCGTAATTACTTATTAATTCACGATCATTGATCCCACAACACCCAACGTGAACACTCTCCAAGGAAGAAGTGCGATAAAATGAGAATGAAATGCGTATCTGAAAGCACACAAGAACAAACCCCCTTGCTCCAGGCTTCCCATGAGTATCTGATAAAGCGCAAATACAATTTTACCTCCTCCAACGAGTGGACCTTTCTCTGCTGAACTCTGCCACCTTGACTCTTGAACCTGCAACAGTGCAAAGTAAATAGACAAACAGGGCAGGGACGTGTACAACATAACTCTCCACCAACCATCTCGACATGTATCTGTAGGGTCGTGTTGAGGTAAAGTCCTGGTTACTAAATGCTAGCCTCCAGCGGATTGTGTGCCTTGATGACAAAACCTTGCTGAACATGGTGCCGTTGTACAAAGCGTTTTTGGTGCTAAGGTGATCGTAAGTCCTATACCTTAACGTAGACTGACGACAGTCGTAGTGCTAAGGTTGTTTTGTACAACGGCACCCTTGTGTGTAAAACATACCTCGCCAGCAGCCAGGCCAGGTACAGCTCCACATCTATCTGCAGGGCCGTATGGAAGCTGCCACTTCTGAATACAGAATAACGCTGATATAAATCACACAGTTATATCAGCTCCACATCTATCTGCAGGGCCGTATGGAAGCTGCCACTTCTGAATACAGAATAACGCTGATATAAATAGCACAGTTATATCAGTTACTCCACAACGAGTGAACAAAACAAAACTAATAGTTTTCCAGATATGTTTGTGTCATCTTACAATTTTCAGACAAGCAAAGTTAACATGAGGATGTCCGCGTTGCTTATTCTGTCCACGCAGAGGCGGATGCCATAGAATACATACTCGTACCTTGCGAGGGGAAACTGCTCCAACTCATTAGCGGTGAGCTGTCGGTAGCCAAATACTTGGTCTTTGTAATTCGGGTCCTACACAGAATAGAAAGATTCAGTGGTAACAGTGAGGCCATTGTTCCGGACTTCACCAAGCCAGCCTGTAGTAACGTTACCAGTATTCCTACAGGTCACACACAAGGCCAGGCTGTAGTAACGTTACCAGTATTCTTACAGGTCACACACAAGGCCAGGCTGTAGTAACGTTACCAGTATTCCTACAGGTCACACACAAGGCCAGGCTGTAGTAACGTTACCAGTATTCCTACAGGTCACACACAAGGCCAGCCTGTAGTAACGTTACCAGTATTCCTACAGGTCACACACAAGGCCAGGCTGTAGTAACGTTACCAGTATCCTTACAGGTCACACACAAGGCCAGGCTGTAGTAACGTTACCAGTATTCCTACAGGTCACACACAAGGCCAGCCTGTAGTAACGTTACCAGTATCCCTACAGGTCACACACAAGGCCAGGCTGTAGTAACGTTACCAGTATTCCTACAGGTCACACACAAGGCCAGGCTGTAGTAACGTTACCAGTATCCCTACAGGTCACACACAAGGCCAGGCTGTAGTAACGTTACCAGTATCCTTACAGGTCACACACAAGGCCAGGCTGTAGTAACGTTACCAGTATTCCTACAGGTCACACACAAGGCCAGGCTGTAGTAACGTTACCAGTATCCCTACAGGTCACACACAAGGCCAGGCTGTAGTAACGTTACCAGTATTCCTACAGGTCACACACAAGGCCAGGCTGTAGTAACGTTACCAGTATTCTTACAGGTCACACACAAGGCCAGGCTGTAGTAACGTTACCAGTATTCCTACAGGTCACACACAAGGCCAGGCTGTAGTAACGTTACCAGTATTCTTACAGGTCACACACAAGGCCAGGCTGTAGTAACGTTACCAGTATTCCTACAGGTCACACACAAGGCCAGGCTGTAGTAACGTTACCAGTATTCTTACAGGTCACACACAAGGCCAGGCTGTAGTAACGTTACCAGTATCCCTACAGGTCACACACAAGGCCAGGCTGTAGTAACGTTACCAGTATTCCTACAGGTCACACACAAGGCCAGGCTGTAGTAACGTTACCAGTATTCCTACAGGTCACACACAAGGCCAGGCTGTAGTAACGTTACCAGTATTCTTACAGGTCACACACAAGGCCAGGCTGTAGTAACGTTACCAGTATTCCTACAGGTCACACACAAGGCCAGGCTGTAGTAACGTTACCAGTATTCCTACAGGTCACACACAAGGCCAGCCTGTAGTAACGTTACCAGTATTCTTACAGGTCACACACAAGGCCAGGCTGTAGTAACGTTACCAGTATTCTTACGGGTCACACACAAGGCCAGGCTGTAGTAACGTTACCAGTATTCCTACAGGTCACACACAAGGCCAGGCTGTAGTAACGTTACCAGTATTCCTACAGGTCACACACAAGGCCAGGCTGTAGTAACGTTACCAGTATTCCTACAGGTCACACACAAGGCCAGGCTGTAGTAACGTTACCAGTATTCCTACAGGTCACACACAAGGCCAGCCTGTAGTAACGTTACCAGTATTCTTACCGGTCACACACAAGGCCAGGCTGTAGTAACGTTACCAGTATTCTTACAGGTAACACACAAGGCCAGGCTGTAGTAACGTTACCAGTATCCTTACAGGTCACACACAAGGCCAGGCTGTAGTAACGTTACCAGTATTCCTACAGGTCACACACAAGGCCAGGCTGTAGTAACGTTACCAGTATTCCTACAGGTCACACACAAGGCCAGGCTGTAGTAACGTTACCAGTATTCCTACAGGTCACACACAAGGCCAGGCTGTAGTAACGTTACCAGTATTCCTACAGGTCACACACAAGGCCAGCCTGTAGTAACGTTACCAGTATTCTTACAGGTCACACACAAGGCCAGGCTGTAGTAACGTTACCAGTCTTCTTACAGGTCACACACAAGGCCAGGCTGTAGTAACGTTACCAGTATTCCTACAGGTCACACACAAGGCCAGGCTGTAGTAACGTTACCAGTATTCCTACAGGTCACACACAAGGCCAGGCTGTAGTAACGTTACCAGTATTCCTACAGGTCACACACATGGCCAGGCTGTAGTAACGTTACCAGTATTCTTACAGGTCACACACAAGGCCAGGCTGTAATAACGTTACCAGTATTCTTACAGGTCACACACAAGGCCAGGCTGTAGTAACGTTACCAGTATCCTTACAGATCACACACAAGGCCAGCCTGTAGTAACGTTACCAGTATTCCTACAGGTCACACACAAGGCCAGGCTGTAGTAACGTTACCAGTATCCTTACAGGTCACACACAAGGCCAGGCTGTAGTAACGTTACCAGTATTCCTACAGGTCACACACAAGGCCAGGCTGTAGTAACGTTACCAGTATTCCTACAGGTCACACACAAGGCCGACACATGTACCGATATAAGCCTACACCCCACCCTCCCGCCGGTCTATACTGTGATACTCACGAACCCCACCCTTCCGCCGGTCTGTACTGAGATACACTCGAACCCCACCCTCCCGCCGGTCTGTACTGAGATACTCACGAACCCCACCCTCCCGCCGGTCTGTACTGTGATACTCACGAACCCCACCCTCCCGCCGGTCTGTACTGTGATACTCACGAACCCCACCCTCCCGCCGGTCTGTACCGTGATACTCACGAACCCCACCCTCCCGCCGGTCTGTACTGAGATACTCACGAACCCCACCCTCCCGCCGGTCTGTACTGTGATACTCACGAACCCCACCCTCCCGCCGGTCTGTACTGAGATACTCACGAACCCCACCCTCCCGCCGGTCTATACTGTGATACTCACGAACCCCACCCTCCCGCCGGTCTGTACTGAGATACTCACGAACCCCACCCTCCCGCCGGTCTATACTGTGATACTCACGAACCCCACCCTCCCGCCGGTCTGTACTGTGATACTCACGAACCACCCTCCCACCAGTCTATACTGAGATACTCACGAACCCCACCCTCCCGCCGGTCTGTACTGAGATACTCACGAACCCCACCCTCCCGCCGGTCTATACTGTGATACTCACGAACCCCACCCTCCCGCGGTCTGTACTGAGATACTCACGAACCACCCTCCCACCAGTCTATACTGAGATACTCACGAACCCCACCCTCCCGCCGGTCTGTACTGTGATACTCACGAACCACCCTCCCACCAGTCTATACTGAGATACTCACGAACCCCACCCTCCCGCCGGTCAATACTCACGGGCGAGTCTCCGTCAGACAATGTGTACCCCAGACATCAGCTGACACCCCACTCTCCCGGCGACCGGGGAGTTGTATATGCCGAGGAGATAATCCCACGTGACAGTACTCCATGCTCTGTGGAATGAGCCAATAAACATCTCTTAAGACAAGAAAAATAGCACAGGATGCAGCTGGTCTGTTATAAACACCCGATGAAACGTGCTGGAACAGACCAGGGGTATCTGAGATCGCCGTTTTAATTAATTTGACAGGCAGAGTAGGAATCCAAATTATCATCAGACATATGCAATATTATACAATTGTGATAATATGCTAGCTTACTTACTTGATAAGGTCTTCGGGGGTATCCCCCAGACAATATGGCTCCCAAATCCCACCGGCGACGTCCGATGTTGTGTCGGGGGAGAATTTGTCTGCCACGAGAGTGACGTGCACTTCAGGACATTGACGTTGGACACACACGGCAGACGACAACCCGCTGACGCCCGCGCCCACTACGCACACCCTCTTCCCCATCATGGGATTGGGACTGAATCAAGATACGGTGGGTGATGCTGGCGTAAAATGAGGACTGAGGGACGTTAGCTCCGCTGACCTCGTGGCACAAAATCGTGAGGGGTTATACATTTAGAGGGAATTATGACATTTTCTCACTAGCTACTTTTACATAATCTAACTGTACAGACGTAGGTGGTTTTATAACAATCCACGGATTTCTGCGTAAAAAAAGTATTTGATTGATTTATGGCCCTAATTTGGAGTTTTATTGGATCCCCCGCCCCCAGGCCTTGTTATCAAAACAAACAGCAAATAACACCGCTTATTAGCGCTGAGTAGTGTACTTCCTAAAAAACAATAGTGTTTTCCTAAAAACAACACTTAGGTCATATATAATATCAATTTTTATTCTGTTTGCGGAGTAGATGTCATCAAAATGGAAACAATGGTAACACTACACTAACATTTAATTAATTAAGTCCACTCTCATTTTTTGCATTCATAATTAACTCTGACGTTAATTTCAAGATTTACATTACATACTATTCAAAAGAAGTTAACGAACACCCGATTCTTTCATATAACTATTGTTAGTCATAAGTGAAAGCGATAAAGCGAGAGGTGAGGTGAAATTGGGTTTAACGTCGCGTCCAAGATTATTTATTTTACTTATTTTACTTATTTAGCGATGAGCATTTGTGTGGCTGCTTGTACTAGTCCGGAATAATGCTGATTTCACTGAGATACCATGCCGCAGCGAATACCCCACTCAGACACAGTATACTGCCTCCGAGCCGACCAGTCCTTGTTTTAGCCCCTTTATGTCGAGCGCCAGACAGGGTAAAAACAAGTACCACCTTTTAACGTCTTTTGGTATGACGGGGATTGAACCCCGGACCTCCGGGCGGACGCTCTATAAAGCGAGAAGGCGATAGAGCGAAAAAGCGTTAGAACGAGAAAGCGATATTTCCCTTAATGCGTTGTGTCCCTCGTGATCCTGCAACAATTTATAATATACACCAGGTATGTCGACTATAAAAGGTAATACAGACTTATTTACATCAGGTATTAGCAATATCCTACCACGTGACCTGACCTGACACATTTAACCTACATTGTAAGCGGGTCACGAACGCTCAAAGCACTAGGTTACCTGACGGTCCGTTTGTCTATTTTCAAATTATAATCACGAAGTATTTGGACATGCCACAGCCTGAACGCCTGATTGTAGTTTTGCAATCGAACGCTCGTTTTGTGTGCTTCTGGTGGATTATACGATATAACTGTGCTCAAATGTAAGTCTTCGTGCTTTACAATCAACAACCTCCCTACCGGATGAACTATCTGACACAAGCTAACGTGCGTTAACCTACATACAGCCTAGGAGCAAAGAACGACATTTTTTAGTTATAAGCCATTTTGTCTTATCATATAACTACCTCTTCACGTTCTGCGGTGATAAGCTACTCCCTTGGTCCGAGTCGGGCGAGCGTGAGATGGGTCGAGGCGACCAAACCGAGGCCAGTGCGACAATGTCTGGGATTCAAGTTTGTGTGAGCGAGTTGGGTTACACAGTTTTTCAGTTATATACTCTGCAAAAAAAGATACGCAAAAATAGTAAAATACGTAAATATCTGACAGAGGGTGGCCAATATCCATACAAAATTAATACCATCAATGAATTGGTCATTTCTGCATGGATTGGGACTGGTTGTAGAAAAAATTGAGGTACTGCAGAAATTTGGTGAAATGATGGAAAAAACACCCCCAAAAAACCACGTGAAAGCCTGGCGCTGAAACACACCAACATGCACGTGCACGTGCAACATCACTTGTTGGGCTATACAAAATAGGGTTTTTATTTGCAGGCCATCACAATCTTATAGCAAGTGAACAGCGAAAACATGCCATGACTGGCAAAAGCCCAACGCAACAACGCCATCGGCCGACTGGAAACAGGAGAATCATCTTTAGTCGTTGCCAGGTTTTCCAAAACAACAACGCCCAACCTCCCACAGCAAGACTGACAACACTCTTTTTCAGGAATCACAACATCCAGGTCCTGCCATAGCCCACCAGGTCTCCACATTTAAGCCCAATCGAATCAATTATTGGATGCACTGGATCAACCACTGCGAGCACGTCTGTTGTGCCCTCAAACATACAAAGGTCTACAATATTCATGAGTGGGCGTGGCTTATGTATGCAGGTGACACTATCTTCCGCAAAGCAATATGACGTCTAACGAACGCATCGCTGTCTCGGCGATACGATGTTTCACTCACAATCTGCACATCAGGTATATAACATGTAGTTTATGTGTCTTTGAATATTGTGTGTACTGTATTTGCGAGCCTCGACTTCGGACAGATCGAAAGTTACGCGAATTACAGAGTCAACCCAACTCGCCTATCTCCGAAACATTCAGTGATGCACAGTAGCCCTGATCGATACATTGACATGTCTTTGCTATTACTTAAATACCCAACACAGTAAAAACATCTTTTCACCAAGCTCCATACTTATACAATACATCTTTCTCTACTTGTATGCAAGAGCGAGGCAATCTCTGCGTGGGGCAAAAGCTGGTCAACTACAAGCCACAACTATATTTTTCTTTTATTTCAGAAACCCTAATACGATTCCAGAAGGTATATTAACATGTTGTCCCAGAAAAAGAGTTATCATGCTTGTAATATAAATATGTAAAATAAAACCCAAATGGCGCCTAGAACAATGTTTGTTAATCAGGCCCAGGGCTCAGGCAATTAGGACTTGTCAAATCATTCTAGACTTGAGCTGGCTTCTTTCTCCATTTATTCTTATGTGTCTGACAGACAGAGGTTCAGGAATGTGCAATTCTCTTTCTGGATAATAAATAACCATATGATCAGATATTCTGAGACACTTTCATTCATTCTGTACTGCTTAACTATGGTCCTCATATATGTAGAATATATAACAAAAACAAAGTAACTAGTATTAAATACAATTCCAGCTATTAAAGTGACAAAACTTTATCTCCAAACAATATACACTCTTAAAAAAAAGAAACGCACAGGTAGTATGTTCATTGAACCTGACTACACACAAAATTTGGTATGTAAATTGGATATATGTTATTGGAAAATGTTGGTGGCCTGATATTCGACAAACGGTGCGTCAAAACGCCATTGTCGATTTGCAATGTCGTAAACGGCATTGCTTTCACACTTGTTCAAAAATGTCATGGAGGAAAATGCACGTGCAGGTTGTGGAATTCGTAACTCGTTGTAGTGGCTATAAAAAGGCAAGCATAAGCCAACAATTTGTCATTCAATTGTCAACATTTCGAAAATTTTCGAAAATGCCGAGACTCAGCGCTGCTGATCGGAACATCGCCATAGAACGTATCCAAAGAGGGGAATCGCAGTCTTCTGTTGCACGCCACTTCAACGTCCACCACAGCACCATTTGCCGCCTTTGTGACCGATACAAACAGTTCAACCGGCCGACCAAGAGTTACCACCTCTGCACAGAATCGCTACGTTCGACTGTTCTACCTACATCATCGCAATGCTACACTGCAGGACGCATCCCTGGTTTGAGGGGGATACCGGACCAGACTGCCAGGAACCATATTTGCGATGCTGGAATCCGACCCATAAGACCAGTTATCCTCCCTGTTTTGCAACTGATCCATCGACAGCGACGCTTGCGTTGGTGCCATACATTACAGCCTTGGAATTTGAAAAACTGGAGACGAGTGTGGTGCAATGATGAATCACGGTTTCGTCTTCACCGGCGAGATGGAAGACAACGTGTTTATCGTCGTTGAAATGAGCGTTTTACCCCACATTGTGTACGTGAATTCGACAAATTCGGTGGCGGTAGTGTCATGGTGTTGGGAAAATAACCGGATCGTTTGGTCAGGCTAGCTGATTTTGCTCATGCACGTCATCGTATCCCAATTGCGTCGATCGATGCTCAAGATGTCAATGGCTGGATTGTCTGGTACAGACTCGATCATTTACAGACCGCCGTCATATATCTGGAATGTTGTGCGGCGTTAAACAACAAAGAAAGTATTACTCATGTTCTGACATCTGCCTTCAGAGAGTGTTTATACTAGTTATAGAACCTTGGAATAAATATTTATTTTTCATGCGTGTAAATAAAGGCAACAAAACATCATAAGACATATACTGAACCGCAAAAGTAACGTGACCCCAAGTAACATTGCATGAAAAGTTGTCATTTAAATATCTGGGTAATTTTTGTCAAAGGTTCTAAAATTTAACATAACCTTGCCCGGAAAAATGAAATTTGATTATAAAAAAACAAAGCAGATGACAATAAAACCGATCGCCCAAATGCATCACGGCAACGGCCATGGTAACCCGATGCACGTGAGTTCCGTGCAAATTGAAATGCACATGCATTCCCCCATTTCTTGCCCTATTAAAATCCACCAAGATCGGATAAAATTCATTCGTTATTGAATTGCTACCACATGCCAATATTGACAAGAAATCAGCGACACCAAGCCCTTGGACGATTGCAAGCTGGACAAACCGCCCGGCAAGTAGCCAATGCATTTCAAGTCCACGTAAGGACCATATACAGGCTCCAGCAACGGTACCAGACCACCAACACTACAGATGACCGGCCACGTAGCGGAAGACCAAGGGTCATCACCCGACGTCAGGATCGTCAGATTGTTCGACAGCATCTTCAAGATCGCTTTGTTACTGCTGCGGAAACTGCTCGACAGACCATGGGGACACACCAGCGACACATTAGTGCGGACACCGTGCGTCGACGATTGACGAGCAGACACCTCCACTGTCACAGGCCACGCCGAGGACCCATTCTGACACTACGTCGTCGCCGGGACCGTCTTCAGTGGGCAACACAGTACCAGCATTGGCGCCACCAGCAGTGTCCTCTTTTCAGACGAGAGCCGTTACTGTATCTCAACAGAAGATTGCAGAGGGAGAGAGAGAGAGAGAGAGAGAGAGAGAGAGAGAGAGAAAGAGATTCTGGCGACGCCGTGGGGAACGTTATTCGGATGCTTGTGTTGTTGAGATAGACTTTTGGGGTGGTCCGAGCATCATGGTGAGGAGTGGAATTGGTCTTGCACAGTTGATCGGCCCTGTGGTCTTCCAGAACATCGGTCCAGGGAGAGGCAATGGTGTCACAGCAGTTCGGTACATTGATCAAGTCTTGAGACCACACGCCATAGCTCATTTGACACGTCACCGCAACCACGAGATTCAGCATGATAACGCCCGTGCCCACACCGCGAGAGCAACAAGAGACTTCCTCCACCAGAATGGCATCAGAACCATGCAGTGGACTGCCCTCTGTCCCGATTTAAATCCCATTGAGCACCTGTTGGGCGAGATTCAAAGACGGCTGAATGAAGTCCGACCAAGGCCGACAACTGCAGCTGAACTGCGTCAGGCATTCCTGATTCTGGGCCATTCCACGTATCGACTTGTGATGCCATTTTCTCAGAGACTAGTGTTTTGTTTCACTTTAAGAACATTTGACACTTTAATTTCAACCTTGATGATCAGTTTAGCCAAGTTCATCTTTTTAATATGTCTC